GTGAGTGGATACGATAAGTCAAACATCGGTCAATTTGCGGCTTCGATAAGGAAGTGGAGACCTCCGGAACCGTACAAGGGTAAGGGTGTGAAATATGCGGATGAGATCGTTAGAAGAAAGGAGGGGAAAGCAGGGAAAAAAAAGTAGTCTGTGTATTGATATCAGTCTCAGTCTCAGTTGTAATTTCATTTTCGATACTTTTTTATTTTTAGGTATGAAAAATTGTTTCTTGGCTTAAACTGTGGATTTTCTTTTTGTGTGGATATCCGTGACACTTTGAGAATTCTAGTGCAATACTTCAAAACTAAAGTTACAGGGGTTGTGTATTAGTTGTTGATTGTGTCAGATCTAGTTTTTTATTAGACTCGAGACTCGGTAAGAGGCATATTGAAGACTTCTAGGTATCAAACAATTTAGACCGAGTAAGACCCAAAGGGGCATATCAAACAACCCTATAAATTGGTCCAATAATCTTTAGAAAAACTTAAAGTTATGCTGGAAGCACTCACAACTTTATAATATGATTTAAGTTCTCATTCTTTATCAATATGAGAAGAGATGTTATAACTTTTTTTTTTACTCAAATTCATTTTTTTTTTCACCCAAGCTAAATTCCAAAAGGTTGATTTTTGTACAATGTATATTTCTTTTGGTTTACAAACATGTTCGATTCAAGTCTTGAGCTACAATACACATACATATGATTGGCAAGTGTTACCAAAATATTTATTGATTGATTAAGAGACATGGAAAGGTTTTGTTTTTAAACGTATTAAAGACAAAAACCATAGGGTTGCCTCTAAATCAAGAAAAAGATGTGTAATTCTTATTCTTTAAGCAAAAACAAATGCAGATTAGTCTTTTACATCTTATATTTTAATCAATCAAACTCTTTCTATACACATGCAACCACAAGTTTTCCCCAAGAAATGCATCAATTCTTTTTGGGTTTTCAAAACACAGTTAAAACACGATTTATAATGTGTTGATTAAATATCAAAAACTATTCAAAACTAATAAGTAATCTTGAAAAGTAAGGATGCGTTTGGTTTGGTTGTTGACAAATTTTTTGTTTTTCATTGATACTCCCTCCGTTCCAAAATTATTGTCCACAGACAAAAAACACATAGATTAAGAAAAATAATCATTAGTTTTGTCTTTTTGAGTAAAATGACTCTCTTGCCCTTTTCTAAAACCAATGGGAAATGTGCGTTTGTAATTATTCAAGTTTACTTTATTAAATGTTAGGGGTAATATGGTAAAAGTGTATATCTACTTTTGGTAGTGAACAATAATTTTGGGACAAACTAAAATAGTAAGGTGGACAATAATTTTGGGACGGAGGGAGTAATTTATAAGAAAAATGAAAATTAAAAATATATATATATTTGATTTAATATATTTTATGTTTTTTCTTTTCAAGAAAGAGAATTTTTTTTATATTTTAAATTAAAGATTATTTTGAAAATTGATAATCGTTGTCTTGCATATTTTACCATTCTAAATTTTTTCTAAAATATCACATAGGCAGACACGTTCCCATCCTATCCCTATCCCTACCCCCACCCACACTCACACCCATGCCATCATACTTAAGTTCATAATTGTATGTTATATTTTAAGTTCAGTATAATTAATTTAATTTGTTAGAATAAAATAAATGTTTGATATAATCTTATATAAAATAAAAATTAATAATAAATATTATTCATTTAAATAATGGGAGCTGGTATTTCACTTGTTAATTTGACTCTTCCACTTACAAAAAAAATTGACCTTTCTGCTTTTATTTAAAACTTATAATTATATGGAGAGACTTTAATGGGTTATATGTGCACATCTTATCTTATCAATCTTTTTTTTTTCTTATTTATCACTTAACAAAATTAATTTGTTTTCTTATTTTCATCAAGCCACCAAGTTATGCCTCTCCGCCATGTGAGTTTTTTTTTTTTTTTTTTTTTTTTCACTTATAAATGTTGTTAAACAAAAATATTCAAATCACGCCGAACGGTTAAAAAAAGTTTAAGGATATAAAAACATTCACCCTATCATCAAATAAAAATTTGGAATCATCAATAGTTGTATATTCTTTTGATTTTAGAATTTATAGACGGTAATGTATTTAATGCGCACCAAATATACTCATATTTAGTGGTTCTTCCCCTTTAAGTGGAAAATGGAAATGGAAATTGGAAATCCCCTAAACCCATGACGTAATAAATAAGTAGAATCTGTACATGTGGCATTCTATTATCCCTAATCCAATTTTTCCACTCTTTTTTATAAAGTGAATTACCGGTATTGCCCTTCAATTGTGTTCAGTTAATTATCGTCAATTCCTTTATTTTTGCACCTTAGTTACTCTATTTCCTGCAACATTTAAAAAATTGAAGGTTGGTTTGTTTTTCAAAGATCCAGTTTTTTCACATAGGCAATTGTATGTTGCTTTATCTAGAGGTCAAAGCAGAGAAATATTAAAATTATTAATTTTAGATAAAGATGGTAGACTTATAAATAAAACTTCTAATGTTGTTTATAAGGAAGTTTTTCGCAATTTATAACCAACTTTTTTTGTAGCATCTTTTAGTCACTTTTAGCAAATCACACTTCATCCATCATATTAATTTATTTATTTATAATTATGTATTGTATTTTTTTATGTTAATTTCATTACAGACATGTTTTGTATCAAATCAATTTTGATGTTTTTTTGGGTTTTTTTGTCATTACTCAAACGTATGTTGCATTATATAAAGTAATGACTTTTATAAAATAGGTGGATTTACATTTGTAATTAAATGCTTAAAATTTACAAAGTTACTAAAAATAGAGAACATATCCTAAGAAAAACACCATCATTACACGGATTTCAAGGTTATGACCAGTAAGCCTATAAAAGAAACACATGACGCAATAAATCAAGGTAAAGTTAAAAAAAACTGATGAAAACAGCAACAATTTCTATTAATCTCACGAAATTAGCACCATGAACGATGAAGAAGGAGTAAAAATCCTACAATGACAAATCGACATAGTGGAATTGAAGATTTATTGAGATGGTAAGATATAATAGCAAAAGTGGCGTTTTAGCCAACAAACGTTTTTTCTTCCCACTCGCTCCCTTGTGGGTGTGTCATCATCTCTGTATGTTCAACGAGAATAATGCACCAAAAGTAAGGGTTTTAAAAATCTTCATTTGTAATTAAATACTTACAATTTACTGTGTAATTAAATACTTACAAATCAAAAAGTTATTAAAAAAATACAATATTACAATTCATAAGTTTTCTAAATTAATAATATATTATTTTATTACATAATTAAATTTTAAATTCTATTTAAAATTAATACCCGTGGGTTCCACGAGTTTTTTACCTAGTTAACAATAAACACTTATTAGTTTAGTAGCGAAATTGAAGACCGAAAATAATGGTTTCTAGTCGGTGTCGGTCACAATCGGAGGGTGGAAATTGGAATTGTTTAAAAATCATAATATCAATAATAAACTCACAAACAAAAATTGAAAACTACAAAAAAAATATTTGGTAATTAATAAATAAAAATATATTTTTAATGAGATGTTTTAGTGTATGGTTGGAAAAAGGAGTTAATGTGAAAAATTACACCATTTTAGAATTATTATAGTAAGATTTGAGTTTGCTCTTAATAGGTTTGATGAATAGGATATTGGTGAAATTATGATTAGTTTAGAAGTATATTAGTTTTGTTGTTCTAAAAAATAAGAGCTGACAAATTTTTATGTCATTCAATAGATGAAATTCTATCATTATGAAATACAACATTGACATTCAATTGATTTGAAGTTCAATGATCATTAAATTATTCAGTACAAAAAATATAAGTTTTTATTATTAAATATATACTATAAATGAACTTTTATATTATTTTATTGAACTTTATAGAGTTCAATTAATTGTAAAAAAAAAGTATAAGTTTTATGGATTATAGAAAGATAATGTGACAATCTATTGAATCTATAGAGTTCAATACATTTTTGGTAAGTACTCCCTCCGTCTCATATTTATAGTCCATGTTTCATTTTTAATAAGCTCGATTAGACTAAGTTGATGATGATTAATGAACAATAAAATAATTATTAATGAACTATGGTTCTGTTGTGCATGTAGATAAGAAAAAAAAAAGTAGTTTTCTAATATAACATCCAAAATAGGAAATTATTGGGTTAAATAAGTTTGACAAAGTCCAAAAAGCTACTCAAGTCAATTTTTTTTGCACTATCGTTCGTAAATTTGCAAGTTTTTTTTTTTTGCACTTTTGTTTGTAAACTTGTAAGTTTTGACATAGAGCTTTTTCACTGTTCTTTAATACTAAACTCATTTCCATATATTTTTATTTTATTTTAGTAGGACCATAAATAAACTTAATAAAAAAATCTCTATTATGAAGAGATTTTGAGTTTTTTAATTTGATGATAAAAAACTTAGTGAAAAAGTTTTTCTATTGCAGCTCTCTAAGACTTTAGATCAGGTTGTTGATCAAGATAAATCTTTTTATTAGAAGTATAAAAAAACTCACTTAAACTCATTCTTGCACTTTTATCCATATAAGACGATTATCAGCCAACTTTTTGTGGCAACTGGCAACTGAGATCGTAAGTCTTTGTACATAGTCTTTTTATTTGGTTTCACAAATTAATCGTTTAAATTGTTTCCAATTCTTGAGCTACTATACACATCCAAATGATTGACAAGTGCCACCACAAATCTTCTTGATTAATTAAGTACGATTTAAAGATTGTAACTTGAACATTTTAAAGACAAAAACCATAGGATTCCTTCTAAATCAAGAAAAAAGATGTTCATTTCTTATTCATTAAGCAAAAAACAAACGAAAATTAGTTTTTCACACTTTATATTAATCAATCAAACTCTTCTATACACATGCCACCACACAATTTTCCCCAAGAAACGCATCAAATCTTTTTGGGTTATAATTTAATGAAATGAACATCAAAATCAATCCGATATCTTTGAAAAACTAAGCCTTCTAAGTTGGCTGCTAATTGGGATAATCGACCAATCTCCATCATTCTTCCCACACTTCAAATCCACAGTTTCTACAATTCTTTGTGTCACTTTCTTGCGTTCTTTGCCTCGGATTGGGGTTTTATCAACCCACAAATCTTCGGAATCAAGCATAGGAATCTTGTGGGTGGTTTTCTTCTTTCCGGGCTTAACCTGATGGTGGCCATTGCTCGAACTGCCGCCACTCACCGCCACCATCCGCCGGAACCGCCTTGTAGACTCCGCCCCACAAGATATCGAAACTGGTGCAGTTTGGATTCTTATAGCAGGTTTCTTTGATGAAGTCTTCTTGAGATTTGAGTCAATTTCTTGCATCATCAAGGCACTAACTTTTCCGGTTGACCCTATTCTGATCTTACCACCACCACCACCGCCATCGCCGCCTTTGACTTTACCATTTTCAGAAGCTCTAGCCATGACTTACAACTTCAAATCAAGAAACTGATTACAGTTTTTCTGGTAAAATACCATGGGATTGAGAACCTAATAAGGAGATCATTATGAATGATAAGAAAACATACCAGAAAATATGTGGCCCCAAAAGTTTTGACTTTTGAGTTTTGACAGATAAATCACAAAAATCACCTTTTTCTCGGAATTAGATGAGATTGGAGGTGTGAGTTGGAGAATCTGTGTTCTGTCTTTTGGGGTTTTCTTTTTTTTATTAATTTGTGTTTGTGTAGAGTGTAGATCATGTATATATAGCAATGATCGATGACGTGTATGGTACAGTTGTTAATTTAACTTTTAATAAAAAAAAAGTAATCATTTTCCTTTCCGTCAACTTCTTCAAATGAACAAGTCGAGGAGAATATTAATTGTTTAGTGAAATTAGATTTCATGTGGTAACAAAGTAGGTTTATTATAAAGGCTTGAAAGGTAAGATTTCTACGGGTGATGTTGACACATCGCTATTATATTGTACATTTGTACATATCCGTTGTAAATTTAAACTCGCGCTTATTATATAAAATAGTTATATTTTTGTACTAAATCCGTCTACTACACACAGGAGTTTTTTAAAAATAAAAGTTTTATAACATTAAATATTTTTAATATGTCATTGTCTTAATTATATAACAAAAAATCATAATAAATATTTTTAGTTGTAGAA